AGCCTGGGTTTTTACTGAATGAACAATCTGATAAAAACTTATCTGTCTTTATGCGTTTTTGCGTTTGCAAATGCAAAAACGCGTGATGTCAAGAACACATCTGTGTGCGTGTGCTCAAAAGCGAGTGCAATTTGTCATCTGCTTTCAATTCGGCAACAAGGAGAGCCATAATGCAATACTACCGTGCCAGCCGTTGTCCTTTTCTCTGCATGCAAGAAAAGACCAAAACACAAATACATAAGCTGCATGTGTCAAACTGTAAAACAATAACTATTCATACTGTTAACGATCTTACTGCGTCATGTTTAGTGCAAAAATGCATGACCACATGAACAAACCTGGTGCGTTACCATTTGGGTTTCACTAAAAACTGGCTTGCAAGCTCAAGTATGTGAATCAAGCCCGCATATCGTCAAAGGTTGCTCATGCCTGCTCAACACCATTGAATGCTTTTTCACAATCAACGAATATAAACTGGAGAGCGAGTTGATACTCTCCGAGCGTTCAAGCGGTTGATCTAAGGCGAAAAAAGCCACGTATTCTAAAGGAAATTCTGTCAAAATCAATTTGCTCTTACGACTGTTGCAAACCCAGAAATTCTGATTTTTTAACTGTCGCCTGTCTGATGCACATGCGCAACCTTTTTGCGGGATGCCCGAATGAATGGTCTTCACTTTCCTATGGCTGGCATTCGCTGATACGTGACCATCTGTCAGTAAGGCAAGCACCATGCTCGGCCCATCGGATTTTACTTTTTCATGTGGTTGCAGCAATATCTTGCATACCGCTCATTTGACAGAGAGTCCGATTGCTTATTTGGTCAAAAAGAGCCAATTCAAGTATTCTCTGTTCCATTACTCTTTCTGTCACAGCCAGCGTTCCCTCGTTTGCTTTCGTTTGTGATCAAATATGTGCATTACTGCCTACTGATGTCGAGGAACTGTAGAAGGTTGTTTCGCTTCGACAATTTAAGCACATCTGTGGTGCTGTGACCCTTGCCAGCATACCGTAGTGTCGAATTGTTTGTGTAGACGAGGTTCTAAGTGTAGCGTTCCAAGCTGTTAACATCTCCTTAACATTAATGGTCAGGCTGAGCATGAAAAATCCACAGCAGCTTCGCTCCCCAAAAATCCCGTCTCTGTTCCCAACTGTTACCTTCAAGCGAAGACTCAACTCTTGTGCAGCTAATTCCCATTACGACTGCCGAGACCTAAACCACCATCTGCGGCGTTCATCTCTCTTCCCCTGCCTCGAGTCCCCTGTTCCTCACTCCCAAGTCATTGCAATTCTTTCAATGACTTCGCAGGCTGAACTGGAAGATCACTGGCTAGCAATTAAATTGTTATAGGCCGACTATTTAAAACTCGGCCCGAGCCGAGCCGAGTTTTAAATAGTCGGCCTATAACAATTTAATTGCTAGCCAGTGATCTTCCAGTTCAGCCTG